TGGGAGGAAGGGGCAGAGACTGGTGAAGCTGGGGCAGGGAAGGAGGAGGAGATTGGAGGGTGGGGAAGAGGAATGTGGGGGTCAAGGGTGTAGGTGGCAGGAGGGGGCAAGAAAGCCAAAGGGGAAAGTAGTAGGTGGGGCAGAGCACAGGGGGAGTACCTGACCTCACCCAGCCACTGCTTTCCCTTCTCTCACAGGGATTCAAGACAGCCCTCCAGTACTTAGATTCTGTACCCGGAAAATTCTAACAATTATAACATTTCCATATGTATAGAATCTAATTATGGGTGGTGTCTTATATTCAAGGAAACACGGTAACTGCCCATTTGAAAAATGGCAATTGGTAAAAAAAAGTGAAAAGAACTTTTTAGGTGATCCTTGAAAAAGGACTGGTGGTGTTTAGACTGAGTGTGCATACAGGCTCTTTCATTCCAGAGGCACTGTAGAAATTTTAATTTTTAGCACCTATCCATCAGAAATTTACCATACTAGACAGTGGTACCCTCAAGCATGTGGAGCTGCTCTGTGGGATACCTCCTGAACTAGAAGCCTCAGTTCTGCTGCACTGCGTGGAGGCTTTTTAACAGCAATAGAACAATGTAGTGTATGCAGTTTTGTCTTCTCTCTTGATAGGCTGCGCATTTCCTTGGTTATTGTAGTCACCCTTCTCTCTCAACTCTTTCAGCTTGAGTTCCTCTCTTGACTGTGGATGACAAGAGCGGTACACAGTATATCAGATAAAGTCCTACCAGTACTTTGTACAATGAGAGCAGTGCCTCACTATCTTTGCTCCACATACCTCTACCAGTCCATTCCAACTTTGCATTTGCCCTTTTTCAAGGTTGCATGCCATTGGCAGCTCAGTCTTCTGTGATCCAATGGTGGTATACTCAGAACTTGCTACACTCATTCCCTAAGCAAAATGCATTGTGAAGTACACCCTGTAATGTGACATACCAATCACATGTAAAAATCTCCATCCTTCAGAGCATTCTCCTCCATAAGGGTGAGCTTCTGCTTTGTGCAGGTGCAAACATCCAGATGAGAGCCAGCCACTAAATACATAGTTGAAGTTATCAGTTAGACAAAGAAAATCCTTTTGCTTATACATTGGGCATTTTAATAATAAAAATGTGTGGAAAAGAATTGCAATTGGTGTATCTGTACCTTGTGGAAATTCAGCACAAGGGTATAAAACTACGGGGATTTAAAAATCCATGCTTACATTTTCTTACTGAACTCTGGAATCCTTTAACGTTTCTTTCAAGCTTTTTTTTCTTGTAAGCATAAACCAAGCATAGAGAAATTATACTTCAAGTTGTGTTATTCTCTTTGTTATATAAGGAATTTAACAAAGAATATTTTATGTACAAGGTAGAGGGTTTTCATCAGTGTTGGAAACTGGCTATGGTTTGGGCAAGTTCAGTTAGTCAGCGCTTAAACATAGTTCAACTTTTTTCGGTGTCTAAAATTGTGTGGAAGCTTCACATGAAACAAGGCACTGTAAAGATTATCACCTCTGTTTCTTTCATTGCAGATAAGTGTGTGCCTTTCAGAGAGAGAATTTAATCTTAGCTACAGAAGAAGAATGTTACCTGGAAGGAATAAGAAGCCAATTTATTTCCAGGGTTTGGGGGAGGGGTGGAGGGAGGAAGAGGTGGTGGTGATGGGTATTTAAACTGTGTATTTTATGACATCCCTCGTTTGTTGCAATAAATACTGTAACAATTTGTTGTACCTTTTTGTATATATAGAATACTCTAAATTCAAAGCTTATGGAAAGTGTGTGCACTATTTGGAAACAGTTGCCTATTACCCTTTTAAAACAGGGTATTTTCTGCTTGTTTTATTCCTTATTTACCATACTGAAGGTATACCCTTTTCTACAGTAATCTGGAATATGTTCATTAATTTTTTGCCAATGTAAAATTAAGTAAATCAACATCAAATCAACACATCAGTTCTCTAGTAGTGCTAAAATTAGTGTTTTATTTGGGATGCTTTCTTCTTCAAAAGAATATGCCAAACTACTGCCATGTGTGATTTATTTTTTTTTAAGAGTATTTTTAACTAAATGAATGTGAGTTGTTGTATGTAACCATTATTTAAAACTGTATGGAAGTGTACAAATAAAACATTTTACAACATTCCTACACATTTTGTATGATACTTCTTTATATGTAGGTGTTTGCAGTAACTTTCCTGTAGTAGATTATCCCAGAGGTGAGCTTAACTTTTATCATGAGGTAAGGGTGTGCGCACACAGAATAAAACCCTACCCTTGTTTACCTTGCTGTCCATGTAGTCTCCTTTTGCTGCTTTGGATAGGTGCCCCGTGTTCCTATGAGTAACTGTTTTCTTCTCATAGCTGGATAGTACTTGCTAATTGTAGTCTAAATAGCGATTCCTACGACTTTTTCCTCATGTTTATGGAGTTGTTGACAGTAAATGTGTAGAAGTCTCCAGGTTTCAGGCAGCATACATCTTCCTTCTGCAAAGCTGTTATAGCTGCTAATGATAAGTGCTGGGAGGGGAGCTACAGTGTGGGGGGAGGGAGGCTAGTGCCACCCCAAAATTTGCCGTAGCCCCTGCCTCCCAGTACTGCTGCAACCCAGCTTCCCTGGCCTGGCCCAAGCACAGCCACGGGGAAGAGGCTGGCACAGACCCAACCCCGAGCGCGCAGCAGGCAGCCCCCCTCAGCCCATGGGCAGATCTAGGGGGCATATACCCCACCATGCCTCCCCCAGGAGCTTTCCCCCCCCCAAGCCCTGCACCCCCCGGATGAGCCACTGACTCTATCCCAGACCCTGCTCCATCCCGGCTGGGCATTGCCAGCCCCTAGCCCAGCCCCACTACCTCCCTTCCTCCCTCACCACAGGGCTATAGATCTGCCCTCCCCGTGTCATCCCCCTCCCCCCGACTTACTGGCCAGATGCTACTTTCCAAGCTGCTGGGCTGCATTCCTGGTCATGGGCATGTTGTGGCTGTGCGCATGCATTGGTAGACTGATGTACAGGTGTTAACCTCACCATCACCTTTTCTTTATTTGAAGGCTATTATTGCAGCACCATGGCCAGCTCCTTGTTATCTGTGCCCTGATCCTGGCCCTTCCCATCAAGGAATGGCTAATCATTGACTATTCTCTTGGAAGGACTTTATTCTGAAGAAGTCCAGAACATCCTCATCAAAAGCAGAAAAAAGTGTCTGTCAGGACACTGTTTTATAAAATAGAAGGGTTTTTCAGTATAGGTTCTAACAATCTAGTTGTTCCTCATTCAAGTGGACATCCCGGTTTTGCAGTATTTATTGTATTTAAAGGATTTTGGACTATCTAGTATGTGCAGTTACAGTCTATTTAGCTGCATCATTCAGGTGATTCACTGTACTCATCCTACAGTGGGAAGATTTCTTAAATCATCAGTTTGTGATATCATTCTATCATGGGCTCTAACCATAGTTCTTTCTTGATGCAGATGACCACTGCTTGGACCAATGCTTTCTGTTCTCTTCTGCAGAAGTGTTCATGTTTATGCAGAAGTGCATACTTATGCAACACATATTCTCTTCTGAATAAGTGTTTCAGGCATTTATGACTGCTCTGCCAAAGGAAATGTTTCCCAAGGAAATGTGGAACAGATCCTATTCAACCAGTTAAGTGCTGAAATGCGATCCTATTCTACCTTGCTTGAGTCGCTAAAACATTGTTGACACCTTTATAATGCATTGAATGCATCTACACATGTGCTTAACTGTGTAGTAGAATAATCTGCTGCAGTGTAAATTGTCAATCTACACGTGATGCTATTCAACCCCAGCAAACTAATTTTTGCGACTGTAAGGTAGTACTGTTGGGAATCATACTATCTTATGGCAGCAAAAATAACCCCCTAAACACACATGTAAACACTGACCCAGGCATAAATTATGCCCAGGCAGCAGGGGCATAGGCCCCTGCCTGCTGCCTAGCCACACAGCTCCATTCTTTGGGTGCACTCATGTCCCAGCCAGCCCCTCTGCTTCCCAACACCATGACTTCAAGCCCTGAGGCTGACCCCCAAGCCTGCTGCCAGCCCGGGACCTGCTGCAGTCCCAGGTATACATGTAGATACTGCACCTGGGAGCTATTAACTCTGACGTGAACTGCACTGGAGTTTCACACTGCACTAATTGAACATGTAAATGTACCCACTGACACCTTAACCTTAAGACTAAGTTACAAAAAGCAGTGAGGAGTGCCCCCTTGCTTGTATTCATGGGTTTTCAGGGACCCAAGCAACTTGGAACAGGATTGCACTTTAGGCATCTAAAGAGCAGATGGGTTCTGGCCAGGGTCTGTTTCAGGTTGCGTCCAAAATCATTTTAGATTTTCATTTGAATCAGAAAATTGCTATCAATCAACTGTAAAGATGTGTGAAAGTTTTATTCATTAGATTTTGCAGAGCCATATACCTTTCTGCTGATAGGCTGCCTCACCAAGACTTTTCATTTTACATGTAGAAAAAATGATAAGCAGCAGTATCAGATCAGCAAATATCCAACTAGTTTACATCTTGCATAAACAATTGCTACATTATAGCTAACAAACCCTTAGTAACACCTGCACGTTGTACTAGAGCACAGGCTGTTTTGGCAGCTTTTATAAAAAAATGTTCCTGTTATGGGCATGTGGGTCTTTGCTACTTAGTTTTAAAGAAATCTATATCTACAGTTGGGGCTTCTCAGTCTCATATACTTTGGCGAGACAGTCCTTCATTCACTGCTCCAATGGACTTCACTTGCATTAGAATATATGTGGCTGCATACATAGGGTATGTCTTTACTACGTCTATAGCACTCGTGGAAAGTCCACAAAGATACGTACCTAGAAATGGTATTCTGATGCATCCAGGATATTCATCACTGGTGTTCGTAAGATCTCTATCCCTAGCGAATGAGATACGTGCCGCCACTGCTTTAAGACAGGGTTTGGTTCATGCACAGCAGAAGTGAGTTGAACCATAAGTGATGTTTTTAAAAAGTGCTGTAGCCCTCAAGTCCATAACTCCCCAGATCTCCACATCTTTGGAGAAGTTGTCATCAGTATTCTGCTTTGAAAGAACTGCCTGTTGGAGGTGTCAAAAACCCTTTAATGCCCTTATCTGAGAGCATCAGGAGGTAGTGAGGTCATGCATACCTAACACAGCTGATAGCACAAATCTGACTCGGGTGCACACAAACCTACTGAGGAATCTGTATGTGCATAATGCATTTCAAAAAACCTGTGATTGCTATGCAGATCTGTAACTGTCATTTACCCACCCCAGCAGCAACATCCATCATTCAGCTGCATCTAACAGAGATGCACTTGGTTCATTGTGCTGAAATCTGCATCAATCAAATAGTTAAGAAGAATGACACTTGCCCTTAGGCAGAATGCTCACCCTCTTGAGACACAGAGGGCAGTTCAGAACTCCTAGCTGTTATATTATGCTGTCTGTTTGATGACTTAGAAAGATGGTGCTTCATCAATTTGCATTCAGTTCACTTTTTGAAGGGATACAGACTTTGTTGTGTTTTCCCCCTCAAATGAATGTTTAGGTGCCTAATTATCATCTGTTTCTGAATAGCAGTGCTTTCCTGAATTGGAGCCTCAAATCTGAGAACACTGTCCTATGGTATGGGGTAGATTCTGCATCAAATTCTTGATATGCAGAAAATAAAAGCTGCTACCGAAGGTAAATGCAGATAAATGTTCTTAGACTTGTAGATATAAGCATCACACTGTTTACCTGCTTGAATAAGATTTTAATTGGTTACCTTGACAACTAGTTCTCCTTTAGTTTAGACAGAAGGAGGAAAAAATCCTTAAACTCATTTTAATGTAAGCTCCAAGGAAAAGATAGTTAAAATAGCCTGTCTGAAAAAAAAACAACAACTTGTTAATGATAAAATGTGTTGCTCCTTATTTCACTATTTAAACAGAAATTGTTTTGCTTCCCATCTGTCATCAGTGGCTAATGTTTTTGCTCACTCTCAAACACTGTAAATATTGTGCTGCCCATTTGTTTCAGTTGCTAACTTATTTAAACCTCCAGCATTGTTCTAAAACACTATCTTTTGCATTTATTTTTCAGAGTGCTCTTGTTTGGTTTAGTTCTATTCACTTTTCAAATCATGAATGACCAAAATTCTGATTTAAAGCTGGAGGATGCAAAATTAGAATACGTCTTTCCTGAATCAAAGTCCAGCCACCTCCTTTTGCTGCACTGCAGTTGTCACTACTCTGTCACATCAGCTTCTGCTCTGAGTGCAAATGACGTTATCACTCTCTGTAGTATAGCCACTGCACTGAATACACTGTACGATGAAGCACGAGATTTCCCTTGAATGCAAAAAGCCAGAGTGCCATTCTGTTCAAACACTGAGGATTACCTTTTGTTTCTTTTTTTGCAGTGAAAAACCAGCTGAGTTTTGAATAACACGCATGCTATTTTTGTTTAATGGAGAAGTTCAACAAAAGTGACCCTGTACGTACCATAAAAACTTCATTTCTTCAGCTTAAACATGCAAGCATTTTGTCTCTAAATCTGGCTAAATGAGAGGTAAAGCAGTCTGAGGCTTCTATTTCATAAATTCTTTAGGTGGATTGTGTTAGTAGAATGCAACAAATTGACAACCTTGCAAACTTCTGCACAGAAAGGACCAGTGGCAGCTTCCCACAACTATATCATAACTGAAGGAACCATTTCTAAGGGTGAGCAGGTGGTTTAAGCTCCATAAATGTCAAAGAACCTTGTCTGCCAGTCTCTGGCTTTCATTTTGAGATCATCAACCAGTGTGCCATTGGATGTGTTTGGTGGTTTCCTCTTGACAAGAAAAAATTGTCTACACAGCAAACTAGTCCAGGATAGCCAAACTCAGTTTGCCTATATGTAGCCACAAGCAGGCATCAGATAATAAAATTTCCACCGTCTGTCTAGTCTTGATTTGATCTGGTAACTTACCCATGAAGGGCTTTATATGTCTTTACCAGTCTCTGATAAATTAAATTCCTTCTTTTTTTCAAATTTAGTTAGGATAGATTGTCCTATCTATACAAACATAGCATGCAGAGGGAATAAACTTTTTAGTTACACAAGTGATATGCTTCTGTTAACGTCAAAATAACTGTGTCAC